TTATTAGGTCCCTAAATGAAGATTTATTATAATAAAGCCCTTAATTTGTTGATTGTTCGCAAATTAAACCCGAGAACCGAAAAAGCATCACGGACGAACCCATACAAACCCTAATCGACCCTGGAAGTTTAGAAATCATTTCTAACACTCTAATATGAACTATTTAACTCTCAAATTTTAGATTAATCGCTCTAAACCTTAACTTCCGATTTTCACAGTCTTCGTTCGGTTATTTACCTTTAAATTCAAAGTAAGATAATACAAACCGAATTATTTTTCCTAACACTAATTTATTAACTCTACACTTGAAATAGATACTTTAATTGAGCCCAAGCCCTCACATTTTTATTAAATCACAAATTGACCCCAAACAAGTACCATTATATATTTATATATACACTTGTACCCTAAAATCTTTTTTAACATTATATTTTACAATTTTCAAGATTTGTACACAAAAAAATATATATATAAAACAAATCCATCAATTCACCATCACATGGCTAGCCATCATACCTCCTAGGCTATAATCATTATACTTTAGTACAAACAAATCCCTTGAAATCTTGGAGTAATAATGACTTTGGTACCTATAAAGATTTGCTATATATATGTGTGTACTTAACTAGATCATAATTAAATACATAATTAAGGTTCTAATCCTCCCTCATTCCATTACATTTAAACTAAATCAAGGCACTATTCAATTGAATTGGAACCAATGGGCATTTGGGACTTTTCACACCAAATTCTCTATAAATATACCACTCATCCCCATTTGTTGAGCACATATACACACCCACACTATATTCAGGTGAGAGAAGAGAGAGAGGAGGGTGAGCTTGGTGGAAGATAGGAGAAGAAGTTTGCTAGCAATTCCAACAACCCTCAAGTAAGCCACAACACAACTCTCTCTTTCATTTTTCTTTTTCAAATACATGTTATTAAAAGTTTAAAATGGTATTTTCAGATGTGTTATAATGGTATTATTGTGTCAAAAATAAAAAGAGTTGAGCTTTGATTCTACCATTCTTCTATTTCTCTTAAACGGTATAAGGCTACATTTTTCGCTATCAATCTCTCAAAATTTTCAAAGGCACACCTTCACCTTAAATTTCTAAGTTTAATACATATTATTTAGCATGTTTTCATCACAAGATAAATGGAAAATTTCCCCTAGCTGACCTATTTTCTCACCAACTTCTATTTTCAAGAATTATGCCAGAAAAATCTATTTTACAGCCACCTTACAAATATTGCAGAAAAATGTATAAAAATATTCTGGACCTCCATTTTATGTCAAAATCTTTCTTAAGGAGTTATCTTTCAGGGAAAAATGGTGTAATTGAAAACGAGTTAGCAGTTTATGAGAAATCTGATTTTTGTAACGGTCGACGAATCTAGACAGAGCTGGAGTATTTCTGTAATAACTACAAATCTGGAAAAGCTATTCCATTTCTGAAAAATGTTCTGAAAACTAGATAAAATTCCCTACAAACCATAGGAAGGCCGGGCTCTGAAAAAATCCAAAAATTCTGTTTTCATTAGTACTTTATGCTCTTGTGTTCATAAATATGCTTATTAATTTATGATCATATCTCGATATGATATTTCACATGTCATAGGTTTATGTATTTTATTTTAATCCTTCGATGGTGCTCACACTTATGCAAATTTGGAAATTATATTCATGTGCGAATTTATTCCCTTAACTACTTGAATATGCCTAGAGCTACTTGTGCCTATCTTCATATGTGAATTTCTATTGGGATTAGGTCTGTGTTGGCTATAAAAGAGAGGCACTCCCGTGAGTCTAAGGTACGCTTTTGGTATTCTAAACAGTGAGTTAAGCACTTTTGCTATGTTTGAGAGATAACTAACTTGATCGTCGGAGTGTCCCCGGGTGGACAAACCATCGCCGGATTCCTATCTTTCTGTGACAGGTTGTTCGGGTTTGATCTATTCTGCCAGTGTTCTCCAGTTGAGTATCTGTTTGGTAGTGTGGTCAAAAATCGACTCACACAGACTCCATTGATAATTAAGTTGGCTGGAGTGTCCAGAGTGAAAGTCTCAAAATCTTATATATATTTGGATGCTGGTTCCCTCGGACGTAGTTCCGTAAAATGGCAAGAAATGAAAGTGTATGGATAAATGTTTATGATTGAAGTGTTAATAAATGAGTTGTAGTCTCATTTTGAATTGTTTAAATGATGATGAACTATGTCTATAAATTGATTTGGATAAGTAATGTGAATGAATGGAAGTATGGATGTCAATGTTGATTGGTTATGGGGAATGATGTAAGTTGGTTGACAAGTGTTACACATTTATCGAATGCTAATGTTTTAATTAATTCTTATATGTTGTTTAGCATATCTCTACTGGGCTTTGGCTCACCCTACTTGGGACATCACTTTTCAGGTACATAGGACATGTCGCCTCCAAGGTCTTAGCTTGGGAGGTTTAGGAGTTAAAGACTCCCTTTTGGCTATTTTGTTTTAATGTTACTTGTATATTCAAGCCAAGGGCTTTATATATAAAGAGTTAGAGCTCTTCTTTTATTGTAACCAAGTGTTAACTTGGAAAGCTGTAAGCCCTTTGGGCATTTATTTTTGTTGTTTAGAAGCTAGAGTTACATGCTATAATTTCAAGATTAATGTTTATGAAAATGTAATGCATGCAATATCTTTTGCAAAAGAAACTCTGATGAATGGAAATGTAATATTTCTTCTATGTTCACGGATTATATGAATGGTTGTCTTATACTTTATTTTGAGAGTGTTATAATATTTCACATAAAAAACAGATCAAAAAAATTCCAACTACATGATTTAGGTAAGAAAAGTTTGACCATTGAGAAGAATGAAAGTGGAATTATGTGAATTATATTTTGTGGGAAAAATGTATACAGATAACTGTTCATATATTCCCAACTTCCTCACTGCAATAAATATTGTTATGGTGTGTTTGGTTGGGGAATTTTGGGAGGGATTTAGAAAGAAAAAAAGAAAAAGTGTGTAAAACTATGTGAAATATATACATATTTTAATCACATTTCACCTACCTTTTTCATTTCCCTGTCCAAATCCCTTTCTAAATTCCCCAATCAAACGCAGCATTAAGGAATATATCCATCCATAATTTTATAGTGACATTATCTTGATGAATGTTCCAAGATTATCGCTAATCGGGAAAGGTCGCTACCCAATCTGCGAATCATCTTAAACCAAATTGTACTTTCTCTTGGGAAATCACTGTTTGGGGAACATGGTTTGTGGTCCATATGCTAACTAATACAACTTTACTCTAAATATCAAGCCTAACCACAAAAGTAGAAGAAAAAACAATAGAAAAGATACTTACAGGTCTCATAACCTTGCTTTCAAACCTTTAATTTGTTTAAAGTAATTTGTTCATATGCATTCTCATAACCCTTGTTAGTTTGCAAAATCATCACGTAACCAGCTTGAAATAACTTATTGATTGAGCTCAGTTTCATCATTTTCTCTGAGGTGTAATCGCTGCAGTCACTACAACATATAAAAGTTTTAAAGATTAAATATTTTGGTATTTAAAAGTGAATTTTGTTGCAAAAGACATTTAGGAACTAATTTCATCATGGTAAGGATAGTTACTAAAAGGTCGTTCCGAAAAGTTAAAAAAAAAACTTTTAGCAACAAAATTTTGAAAATGTCACTAATAAATAGATTTTTAGGAACAAATAATTTGGTCTCAAAATGATTTATTTTTTGAGACAAAAAATTTGGTCCCAAATAGATAATAATTCATCACTAATATCCAATTTTTGTTACTAAAAATATAAAATAATAACATTTTTCGCAACAAAAATATTTGGTCCTTAAAAAATAATTTTATCCCTAAATTTTGGTACCCAAAACTTTAATTTTTTTTGTAGTGAGCCACCAATAAAATCATTGTCGTTAGGGCTATTATTGATTTTGTTTTTAGTAGTGATATATCTCTTAAAAAAGAGCTCTATACACTTAGTAATGAAAAAGTAAATAAAATAAATAAATAAATAACAACCAAGACACAAATATCACTATCACCGTGAGGCCCACACCATTACAGCTCCTTTATAGCTATATTATTAGAGTTCCCAAACATTGTTCTTTTGTTTTGAAATGGCATATTGTGACAGAACATGGATCATCCAACTCACTTTGTGACTCATCCTCTACTTCATAAATCTCATATTATCATGTTACTAAATCAATAATTAAAAAATATAAAACAAAAAGTAGTACAGTGGGATAAATGATCTCATCTGCCATTGTGGTATGGAAATGATTGGAAATTTCACAATTAATGCATAAATAGATATGCACAAGCAAGTGGATATTTTCCTCCAGGAGTTTCTGAAAGGCTTTTGAGGACCTTAAGAAAATCTTTACATTCTGTTTTATTTTTTCTGTTCTTTAGAGGCCACCTTCCACTTTTGTTGAGATTCCCCCACACTACCATTGCTTTAGTGGGCATCACATCTGATCTCTGGCATAAATATTTTCAATTCATAGTTTGGTAAAGTAGGTTTAATTTGGACCAATGCTAAGAAGTCTAAATGCTACGAATAAGAACTAGACATTTAAGCCCATTGTTTTTCTTTGTTTATATTTTTCTTTTTACTCCTTATAGTATGCTGAGTACATTAAAAAAAAAAAATTCCGACTTTTCTCCAATCACTAATGGTGTGTTTGATTGGGGGATTTGGGAAGGGATTTGGAAAGGGATTTGGAAAAGGTGTGTGAAACTATGTGAAATATATACGTATTTTATTCACATTTCACCTACCTTTTTCATTTCCCTTTCTAAATCCCTTTTCAAATTCTCCAACCAAACACAGCATAAATGGTTCAGTCCGAGTGAAGAGGTAGATCCCACAAAGTGATCTATCCCTTCTCTCACTAATCACTACGACAGGAAATTTTGCTCAATTGTAAAATAGTAGTGCATGAAATGAACATCAAATGCTAACAACCTTAATTAAATCTTGTTGTAATATTAAAATCTTGGAATTAAATCACATTTTCATCTAAAATTAGAGGCACTTTAGGAGAGGGAAGGGTCCAAGTTGTAGCCTTCAGCCCATTCCTGTAGCGTAAATCTCACATATTTACAATACATGTATCAGTTCAGTCTGGGAGACACCAATGAGTTGAACACAAAATGCCCTGAGTTTACGGCTCATCCAATAATTCACTCCCTTAACCGCTGTGCAAGTAGCCCAGCAGAGGTTTGTTTCCTCAGCAAAGCAGCATTCAATAAACCCCAACTCAGAAGAAATCTCAGCTCTAATTTCTTGGATCCACTGATACCATTTCATAAAACTTCATCAGGGGAAATAAAGGCGCAACAAAAATTTTATGAATGTTTCTCGTTTGCATGAATTTGTAAACAAATTTCAGTCAATCATACCCATACACACTCATTTAGCACAACCTAGTGCCCTCCTTGCCTAAAGTGGACAGCATCCAAAAATCATCACCAGCCTTACAAACAATAAAATCAAACCTTTCATAAGATTTCTTTTTGTAATTTTTCCGGATAAAGATCCAGCCAGATTTAGGAGACCACATAGTTACGTCTCTCGATGAGGGTGCCACTTCTATACAATGGAATGAAACAGTGCCTGCAAATCAAAGCCAGACAAAGCTTATGTAATATATGTGAGATGGGTATGATCAGAGCCTCTAATGCTGACTCGTAAGATCAACAACAATTCCAGACTCGCTTTTTTTCATAAAATTATGTGAAGCTATGAACCAAGTCAAACAGATATCTAAAAGTTGCAAACGAATCTTTTTAACGAACCAGCATGCCATTTTGGACTAGTTCTACTTCACATGATTTAACAGATCAGCCAAACCAACTACCAAACTCATAAAAACCTTTTAACATATCGTAGGAGTTCGAACTTAACATTTGGATGATAAAGGTTTTATCACCTGTTAGGTTTCGGAGCTTCACTTGAGTAAGTCTTCAGTACGCTTTGTTTATCTACTACTTAGGTTTAGGATTAATATACCAACCATGGTTGACTTCCCTCACTGATGTAAGTTTGTGGATGTAGCATTGAAATTCCATACAAGAAATGCTACGAGAAATAAATCCACAAACCAACCAATGGTAAGTACAAACACATTTGAGAGTAGAAAATGATATAAAAAAGAAATCAATTTGACTAGGAAGCTTTTCATACAATACACAGGGAGTTAGTCAACTTATATGCCCTGGAGAAATGAACAGTCTTAGCTGGTATGAGAAATTTTAATAGACACAATACATTAAAAAGACAAGAAACAATAATAAATGTTGTGTTTTGTCAGCTTATATAATTTTTATTCTTGGGGATAAGAGTGCTTACATAGAAGGCAACCGGTGCACAGCCAATCTTGATGTCTTTGGACCAAAGGAACAACTTGTGGGAAAGGCTAAAATAAAGACTGATGGTTAAGCAAGGGTGAGACACAAGGTTTTGGCTCAAATGACAGTATACATCTAGGGGGTGGGGGTGGGGAGTAGGAAATTTCTTCTTCTTTCATTTTGTGAGGTTTTTCTTCTGAACTTTGGAAACCAACATGCTTGATTGAAAGAGTTAGAAAACATGTCATTGCAAAGCGAGAATGTTAGTTATAGTGTCTTAACAATTGAGAGCTAAAAAGGTTCTGATAGGGACATCCCAGGTAACCTTAACACACTCCCTAAACTTAAAAGGCTGAAATTTGAGCCATGTGCCTTCACTATCCAAGAGGGGTGGGGGAATCCCCTAGCATCCTGAAGTTGAGAACATAAACTACAAAAACGCAACTATTGGAGGTAGATTTGTCCACTATGGAAAACAAGAAAAAGCTTCTTGAGAGAATCGCTAATCTTAAACTTGCTCAAGAGGTTAGCCTTTCTATCAAGTTATAAGACTCCTATGAAATCGTAAGCGTGTCCGTTGATTGTAGCCATGTGCCTTCACTATCCAAAAGGGGTGGGGGAATCCCCTAGCATCCTGAAGTTGAGAACATGAACTACAAAAACGCAACTATTGGAGGTAGATTTGTCCACTATGGAAAACAAGAAAAAGCTTCTTGAGAGAATCGCTAATCTTAAACTTGCTCAAGAGGTTAGCCTTTCTATCAAGTCTAAGAAATCAAGTTGTAAGACTCCTATGAAATCGTAAGCGTGTCCATTGATTGTTGCTTGGCCTAGCTTTTGGATTGTCCTTGTATGTTAATCTACTTGTTAGATTTTTTTGTAGAAGCTAGGCACGTTTTTTCCCTCCTTAAAGGGTGTGTTGCCTCTGGGCATACAATGAGTCTCACTGTAATATCTATTTTTTGATATAAAACTTATGACTAACATACTCAAAAAAATAAATAAATAAAGATTTGTCCACCGTGACATACTAGATTGCTAAGATAGAAATTTAGTTATCAGTTTGGTAAAATACACTAGTCTTTTTCTTTCTTTTTTTTTATTTATTTATTATTTTTTTTTTTGGGGGTTTAAAAGTTCATAATAATAAAAGTAATAATACCATGAAAAGAGTTGTTCAGATAGTTTAGTAGCAACCTCGCTTGAGCGACAATGAAGGTCTTACTAAAAAACAAGAGTAATAATTACTATGTTTCACATAAAAATCATACACGCATATGTAAGTATGTATACTATATGCGAAAATATGCTGTTTTTCAAAATATTGACTGTGGCTTCATGTCTTGTCTCTGGTTAATTATAATATTCCTTCTCAGAATTCAATCATTCTCCTCCGTCACACTGAAATTCATTCATTCCTGCAACATTAATTTTAAAGAATGGCCAGTAAGACAGCCAAGTTTTGTGGCACTGAACAATTGTAGATAGGAATCATGTCATAACTTGAGCTCATAACTACAGTGATAATACAAAAATGGCTAGCAGGAAGAAGTATTAACTGAGGGTGGGGAAATGCAGATTGAAAATGATGAACACAGCCTCACAATCTGAAATTTATCATGTGAAGGTAAATATGAAAACCTTTTTTCTCCGCATTTCTACAGCAGCCTATTTGTCAACCCTCGTGATATATTAATAACAAAAAAGTAAAGCAGAAAACAATTTCCAAAGTATAAGGGCTATGAACAGGAGCTCAACTACCATCTATTCAATCATGACTTAATCATAATCTGTGAGGGCCAACAAAGAGAAGTGACCTGTCATCCACTCAATTATGATATAGGGTTCTAAGGAAACTTGATCACACATAAACCTAGCACCAATTCTCACTTTTTCCATTATCATGAATTCAAAGCATCTTTCTTCTCAAGTATATGTGAGATATTCTTTCCATCTTAAACTTTATATGAGAACACATTCTCATTCCTAATTTTGGATCACATATTAATGCTCTAACCCAATCGAGTTAATCATTGTTCATGGACAAACAAATTTTATTTAGAGAAATTACAATACAGTGGGAAATGGGGAAAGTATTTACCAATAGGTTTGGGATGCAACTTTTGTTGTGGTTTTGTTGCACAGAAAACGTTGCTCCGCCCATGTGTTTGTAATTATTTGTGATCTTCTACACTGATTTGTAATTTCCCCTTTTATTTACTACAAATGACCACACAATACCTTCAATCACTTAAGTTGCAAATTATGGAATAGCTGGGAGTAACCAGACAATGTATTTTTGGGGTACACAGAAAGGTAACCCACAAATTATCAGCAAATAAACATCCTCATATGACCTTTTATTTTGTATAAGTCCTCTTCTCACAGAGTGTCAATAGTCTATGTAAATAACAAAGCACTGGCATGTGATGAGCCACTCCTTATTTGAATTGCTCACTCCGAAGAATGTTTTTCCTAAAAAAAATAATGTCACAGCAAAAAACCAGTGGTATGAATGTAAGCATACTAATACTATGAGATAAGTCGCTCCCTGGCTAGCTCTGAGATTTTGTTTTACTTATAAAAATATTGCAATCTGATCAGCTTTGAAGAAAATTGCGGTTCTGGAATAAGTAAAAGAGCATTGCAAGGAAGACAGAAAATTACTCATAGTTAAGCAAGTTATATTTGTAAACTGTAAGACACTTTAGAAATCAAAACTAGCATAAATACTTAATTCATTTTAATAAAAGAACTGACCACACAGGCTACGACACTTAATTCTTGTTAGTCAACACATCATATCTGTTGAGAATAATATAAATAATAAAGTTGCCCCTCTCTCTATCAGCTTGAGCTTTTAGATGAGTTGACGGTCAACAATTCAACAGTATGCAAGTTGCTCTCTCTGAAAACAGCGTATGAGTTTTAGGCCAAGTTTGGCTACTACAAAATAATCCATCTTTTTATTTTTTTATATTTTTTCCATCACATCACTTCTTTATTTTTCTGCATATCTTTTTATAAAAAGACAAAAAATACACTTATTTAGGTCACCCCAAACAACCCCTTAGTTTTATGCACTTTATACGAAAATAGACAAGCCTAAGTTTCTCTTATCACAAGTCATTTGCTATGAATTGTTTTCTTTGACAACTAGTAATCAAAGTTCCATCTACGAAGTCATAACACCCTATGGTTTAGGATTTAGGGTTTATTACAGAGCTCTTGTCCATACCATAACATATATAAATAACTATGGAACTTTCATCAAGATAAAAATTAAGCATACCAATATTAGCTATGGAATTACCAAAACAATAGCTATGGGGCATATGATTAAAGATACAAGCCAACTAATCATGCTTCGCACATCAGTTTGAAGATTGAAAAATCAAAACCACGAATGTACCGCAATCGAGACTCGTTTCCTTGAGATCAAAAAACTTGCCAAAAGTCAAAAATTTTGGTAACAATCCCTAATCGAAATTCTGCAAAATTCGTAACCAATCCAGTATATCAGGATTCAATAAAACAGAGAAGAACGAACGAACGAACGAACGAACAAACCCGAACTGGACAATAGGCGATTGAGAAGTTTGAAGATGGATGGAACAAACAACACTTGGAATTCGACATTGAAGCCAATGAAACTGCGAGAAGCACAAAAGAGGATTAGAGTATTAAAAAAAATTAAAAAAAAGTTGGAAGTTCGCGCCATAAATCCAGAGCTACTACCGCCATGTCGGCCGCAGGAGAGCGAGCGCACAGAGATTTTCGGAATGCAACGGGGCAAAAACATGGGTCGGGTAATACGCACATTAGATTCTGGTTTGACAAAAAGACTTTTAACCGAGTTATCAAAACAAGTCATAATCTATACTAAGTGCACACGGTTCGAATTGGTTCAGTTTTGAGAAAATTTAAAATCGTATCAGTTTTAATAATTTTGTGATTTTGAGAATCAGATCAGACCGTTACACTTGTAAAACCAAACTAGAATCAAATTGAAAAAATGGTTCGATTTCGGTTTGGTTTACGGTTTCAAAAATTTCTATTTACAAGAATAAATTGTTAATATTAACAAAATAATTACTCAAACTAATTACATTTAATTCATGATAAAAACTAATAATATTAAGGCATTACTTAATATTACATATCTATACCATCTAATATCATTAAAATTATAAAAAATCAATTAATAAAAATAAAACTTGATATTTTATATATATATATCTTTAAAATTCGGTTCGGTTCGGTTCGAACCGCGATTTTTCATAAAATTCATTAATCGAACCGTTTTTACGATTCTCATATTTCTTAATCCGAAACCGAACCAATTCTTAATAGAATCGAACCAAACTGTACGATTCAATCTGGTTCAGTCCGAATTACCGATTTGAACGAATTTTTAAACAGTCATAATCTATACTATGTTAGATAAAATTCATACTACGAGTAGCGTAAAATGTTACACTTTTTTATTATTTTTTCAAAATACTCAAAACATAATAATTGTAATTCTATCATTCTTAACTACATCAAATAATTGACGTAATTATTCGATTCAATTATTTCAAATACTACATTATTTTAAATTTCACATGTGCCTCATGTTCAACTCTAATTATGTACATATGTATATAATTTACTTAGTTTTATGTTTTTTTAAACAAAAATATTCACTTAAGATTGAAAAATATTTAACTAAAAATATAAACATAAGATGTAATGGTTAAATATTATTTTATTTTTTTTGGTTAAATTAACTACAAAGTTATTGTTGGAAACATGGTTTTTATAGACTTATTTTGGGCCAATTTTGAACCCAAATTTGAGTGAGTCTCACACGTTTTTTGGAGTAGGTTCAAAGAGGTAACGTGTTCCTTATCGCATGACAAGTCACACAGTGAAATGGTTTGTCAAAACCATTTATAAGTGAATGGGAAGTTGACACAGTTTTCAAGTTCATAAAATGAGAAATTGAAGAATCAAATGTAGGTTTCCTTAAAAGGTTGTCCCAAATTGAAAACTTAAGAGAACTTATGTGTGTATATAAGTTCTAGGTGGCAATATTTGGGTTGGGCCCCAAGGGGCACCCCAAGTTTTGTGAAAGGAGGAGTTATAAACAAAATAGGCTTTGGCCGAAACCAACGCACTACCAACCGACCGTGCCAGGTTGGGTCCTAACATTAATTTTTTTAACAAAATTTATTTGAATTTTTTTCCCAAATTCTTACGGAAAATTTTGAATTTTGCACCAAATAGTTTGAATTCAAATTTTTGCTTTCAACCAGTGTGACTTTCACAACAATCCGAATGTCTCTTCCATTTTAAATAGATTTAAAACTGTTCAGTAGTTTCCAACAAATCAAACTGGTTTCAAACAGATTTTTGCACCTGTTCAGTTTGAATTTGCATCTTTTCGGATCTTCTCAACAGTCACCAACTATGCCTATAAATACAAAATCATTCCAACAGATTTTCTCAATTAGAAAGATCAATTCTCTCCCCGGTTTTGCTCTTTCTTTGCATTGTTCTTCATACTAGCTTTTAAAGAAATTTCTGAGAGCATAGAACACAGGTTCTAGTTCGGTAAAACAGATTATTATTAGTGCTAATACAATCTATGAAAGATCATTGTATCTTGGGAGATAGACACCATTATTCTGTGAGTACTTGAGCGAGGCGAATTTGTCTTAAGGACAGAGTGTCACACATTCGACTTGATCATTTTTTTTTTTACTTATTTGTTTCAATAAATAAATTCTGTAAATAATTTATTTTATTTGTTTGGTTTGTTTCACATTATTTTCTCATACACAGAAGATTGTTCCTATAATCTTACGACAGAATTATTCTGTTTATACAGAATTTTTCATTTGTTTCCTTTTTACCTTTCTTCTTCTTACAGAAATTATTTTCTGTGCTTATACAAAATAATATTCTGATTGGAAAATACAAATAGTAGTAATATACTATTTGACAAATAGTACTAATATACTATTTATTTTCTTTGACAACTAATAATAATATACTGGTTATCATTAACAATTTCAGAATATTCATTTGTGAAGTTGGTCGAAAATTAATTTTGGTTTTCAAAAATAATTTCTGATTTTTCATTAATTGAAATTCTATTTTCAATATTTTAATTTTTGAAATATTATAGAAATATTTTTTTGTTGGAATTAATTTGTTTAAATAAAATTTATTTTCAAATTAATTGGAAATAAAAGTTACAATTCTTGTTTCTTTTATTTTTACAGAATTAAATTCTATTTTTTGGTTTAATTTTCTGTGTAATATAAAATTCTAATTATAATTTTGTTTTATAATTTATAATTCATGACTACTGAAACTAATGTTCAAACCAATATTGGTATAGAGACTGCAATTGCTCCAATCCCTCCTTCTATTGTGACTATACTAGTTAATCACGATAAAAAGCCAAAGAAATTCTTAGGAATTGATTTTTAAAATGACAGGAGAAAATGTTGTTCTATCTTATTTCTCTCAACCTGGCACGTTTTCTCTGTGAAAATGCTCATACTCTGAAAGATGATGAAACCAACCGACAAGTGGTTGCTGCGGTCGATGCTAGGAAACATATTGATTTCCTTTGCCTGAACTACATCTTGAACGGACTTGATAACACATTATACAACATCTATAGTCCTATCAAGGCGACAAAGAAACTTTGGGAGTCTTTGGAGAAACAGTAAAAAAATAGAAAATGCTAGCTTAAAGAAATTTGTGGTTGGCAAATTCCTAGATTTTGTGATGAATGATTCAAAAACTGTGATCAGTTGAATTCAAAATCTCCAACTTATTATGCATGACATTCATGCAGAAGGTATGTCTCTTAGTGAATCCTTCCAAGTTGCTGCCTTAATTGAAAAATTACCACAAGGCTGGAAGAAATTCAAGAACTATTTCAAATACAAATGCAAAGAAATGACTTTAGAAGAATTGATTATGCATCTGGGGATTGAGGAGGACAACCACAATTCTGAGAAGCGGGCTGGTAAGCATCCAATGGAGTCTAAAGCAAATACGGTGGAACATGCACCAAAAGCAAAAAAACAGAAGTATTTTGGAGAAAGTTCCTCACAAGGCTCTAAAGGAGGGGAAACTAAGAAATACAAGTTCAATGGTAAATGTTACATCTATGACAAAGAGAGACATCAGACTAAAGATTGCTGTAGGAAGCACAAAGCAAAGAAATATCAAGCAAGAAGCCTGCTTAAGTTAATGTGACCGAAGTGGACAAAATTTCCAATGGTGTAGATGACATAAATCTTTCTGCTGTTGTTTCTGAGGCAAACCTTGTTGGAAATCCTAAAGAATGGTGGGTGGACACTGGTGCTACTCACTACATCTGTGCCGATAAAAAGATGTTCACATCTTATTCTGTGGTGGACAACGGCGAACAACTTTTCATGGATAACTCCTCTACTTCTAAAGTCAAAGGACAAGGAAAGATTATTCTGAATATGACATTTAGAAAGAAACTCACTCTCAATAATGTGCTACATGTACCGAACATTCGCAAGAATCTTGTTTCTAGATCTCTATTGAGTAAAAATGGGTTTAAGCTAGCTTTTGAAAGTGATAAGTTTGTACTTACCAAAACAGGATATATATAGGAAAATGTTACATGTCTGTTGGGTTTAATCTTCTTCTTACTTGCTTGTTTTAATGCTTTAATCATCATTCTTTTGAGTTGAAAGCATGTTTTAGTGTTATTTTGCACTCTATTTCAGCACTAAAAACTCTCCAATCTCCCTTTATTCTTCACTTTTTCGTTTGCTTTGAAAGTGGTTTTAAACCGCTTGTTTGGTTAAGTGTGAAATTGAGACATTCATGCTTAATGGTTTAATCCCCTCGAAGGTTCATTATCAACGGCAGGAGGTCTCTTTCATGCCCGAGGCACTTGTGGTTTAAGCCCACTTTCCATTAGAGGACACTCACTTTTGGACTAATCAATTAAAGAATAGATTGGTAATCTAAAATAAGTAAACAAAAATGAACAAGTAAAAAAGAAAAGATAAGCATCTTTCGTGTTGCATTTCATGTGTTAGGAACTGTGCACTGTGAGTACTGTGGACATAGAACAGGAAGCTGCGCTGAA